TTGGCTCCTTTGTCAAATATCAGCTGACTGTAGGCCTGTGGATTTATTTCTGGATCTTCTATTCTATTCCATTGGTCTTCGGGTCTGTTTTTGTGTACCGTGCTGTCTTTGTTATTATAGCACTATAGTAGAGTTTGAAGTTCGGCATGGATATCCCTCCCTAGAATTGTTTAGGCTATTCTAGGTCTTTTGTTGTTCCATATGAATTTTTGGACTGTTTTCTGTATTTCAGTGATGTACATCATTGGGATTTTTAATAGGAATTGCATTGAATTTGTATATTAATTTTGCCAGTATTAACATTTTCACTATATTAAGTCTGCCTATCCAAGACTTTACTGCCATTTCTTATTTGCGATTTGTATTTTCTGCTGCTTGCTGGGTTTTCTCCAGTTTTTCCTGAGTCAGAGATTTCAAGGATACAATTCTGGACTTACACGGAACCATCATGATTACATTTTCCACAGACAACTGCTTTTGTTTTGGATGAACTTCTGGGAACACTGACTTCACTTCTACCATATTTGTTGGATACAGTAACATTTTCCTGAAAATTCTGGTTTTGTTCTTGCAGCTTTAGGCATCCAATCTGGAATTATCAAGAGGACTGAGAGTTTAATTCAAGCCAATGAAAGAAAAGATGCATCTCTTCACTGAAGTCTCAGCTGTTGCCCCTGGTAACTGGGAGATCAAGGGGAGTTATTTGTTTGTTTGTTTATTTAGTTATACCAGAACTAGGGCATGAACTCAAGGCCTGTGCTAGCCCTTAGCATTTTGCTTAAGGTGAGTGCTCTACCATTTGAGGCACACCCTTACTCACAGCTTTTTAGTAGTTAAGGGAAAGAAGAGTCCCATGGACTTGCCTTTCCAGGTTAGCTTTCAACCATGATCCTCCGATCTCAGCTGCTGAGTAGCTGAGTTTATAGTGTGAGCCACTGTTGCCCATCTTTCCAACTTCACTATTGGCAGCCTATCTTTAACTGGATTGCAAGGATAGAACATACACATATCATTTTTTTCCAGTTTCATAATTTTAGCACTTCTAATTATTTAGACAAGTTTAGGCTACATGTCCTTGGCTATGACAGACATTTTAGAATACTTCTGACTCATGAATATAAATAGTTGAGTGAAAATAAATTTTATAAAACCAGAGCTGGTAACAAAAATCACCTAGAGATCAACAGCTCTGAAAGAATCTAGTGTCATTCTTTAGAATGTCAGATTAAACTAACATGTGCCAGTCAATATTGCTACACTGCGACCCTTGATGCCTCAGAAGCAAAACTATTAAGTCCAACATTCTTTCCTGTAAGCACTTATCTGTAAGGATGGCTAACATGTCCTCTGAAGCAGATATTGAAACTGATTGGACAATAGGTAGATACCAGACCGGGGCCTGGGGGCCGACCTCTAGAAATAGGGGGAGAAAATCTTAATCTGCAACACAATGCAGTTCTCTTGAAACCCTATCATTTTCACTTCCCATGTGTCTGCTGCCTGACTGTGAATGGATTTGAAAAGGAATGGTTAGTGCTGAAAATTGGATCAGAGCTAACATTCTCTCATTTTTATCAGCAGCTGCCAAAGGTCATCTGACATAATAGCTGATGAATTCAAGCCCAGTGGATTTCATTTGCAATTTTCAATTTACTGAGGCCTCCAAACCCCATGGTGATAAAAGCTTCCCCTATCGTGGCCTGTCACAAACATCAAGAAACTGCACAAACCCACAAGAAAGAAAAAAAAGAGAGAGAAAGCTGTGCATCATCACAGCTACAGATAAGGAGAACTGGAAGAAATGGTATCATGCAGGAAGGTGGGAACAGCCTGTGTGGTTAGTTCTCTAAATGCCAATTGAAAGAAAAGACCAAGAAGAACAATCAAGTAATGTCCACAGAATAACATCATGTTTCTTTGCAGCCTTTATGTGAAAATTGCCTTCTAATCTCTTACTTGACATGTCCCCCCCACCAAAAATGTGAGTGTAAATATGCAGATGAATTAATGAAGAAAGAATCCTTGCTTGTTTGGTCTTCGGAAAGCACCCTGTTTATCTGCTTTACCATAGTTTTGTTTTATAAAATGTACTCTCCTAGAAAGATGTTTTGACATGGAAGTGTTGGTCAGCTCTCAGAAATCATTTTTCTTGTAGAGAAATGGTAGACAGACCACGCAACTACTCGTAAGTGGATCTAGATAACAGTGCTTAGCAAAGATAGATTAACTAGAGGAAGAAAGCCATTTTTCCCTCTTGTCAAGCTATTTACAGTGAACTCCGGGAGGAACTGGGATTGAGTCCTGTTTCTAGTAATTGTTCCGATTGAGGAAACCATGCACTGTCTTTGGAGAATATCAAGTTTAAAGATGGAGCAGACCATCTCCATTTCATTCTTCTTGACTCATAGCTGGCAAAAGAGAAAGTAAAGCCATGACCACTGTTGGAGGGGTTCCTGCTGGGAGAATTTAATTTCAGACATGGAAGTTTGGATCCCTTTCCTACCAAATAGATTCAGGAAGTCTTGTGAAATTAGCCTGATGAAAACAAGAGGACTTGGAAATGGCCATCTACCAAACTTGCCTCATAGGGTAAAAACCTTTTGCATGACACAGAACAAAACTTGAGAATGAATTTATAGGACCAGGATACTCACTTCAACTGTGTGTTAGTAATCATGAACAAAATCACCATTTGGGAAGGAAAAGAGAATAATTTCTGGCTAAACCACTATGAATGTGAGATATTATCTATTCCAAAAATATGATCTATTTGTTGTAATTGAATTCTTAATTCTTTGAAATGAAACTACTTTGAATAATTTTTTGTGACAAATGCATGAATGATCTTGTATTCATCCAAAATCTTGAAACAATAATTTCCTTAGTAGTGAAGGGCAGGAATTAACATATAAGATAGGAAATTTTACCCTAAAGCTGCAGAAATGAAGGAAGGTAGCTATATTTTTAGCATACTAATTTTTTTTCTCTTACATAAAATTGCTAGAATGTTATTTGTCATTTTCTAAAGGTTTTAGAATGTTATTTGTCATTTTTCAAAGGTTTTAGAATGTTATTTGTCATCTTCAAAGATTGTCATTTTCAAAGGAAGGTTGTTCCCTCTGCTTTTTTTCAATTTCTGTAGGTTCAAAGAAAACTCAGTTTATAATTCAGTTTTCCATAGGTTGTCTGAATTATTTGCATAATACTGAGACCCCAGTGGTGGTCAGAGATTATTTAATGGGAGCTTAATTTAATCAATCTTCTTAAAAATACACAGAACTTGGTGAGGGGTTTTCATTATCTCCGTTCTTCTATGACAGTGATATAAGGCAAGCTAGACCAATTGGTCTGTCGTTATATAGCAGAGAGGTTAATCTCTTTTATGTTCTTTTCTATTAGAAAGGCAGATCTGAATCTTCAGGGCAGAGTCCTAAATCATTCTTGTAGAGTGATTGGTTCACTGAGACTGTTCCCTCTCGTGCCCTATGGCTAATTACATTCAGTCAGGCCAAGGCATTCTCTGCAGTGGGAGTGCTGTAAAATAGCTGGAGTTCATTAATACCTTCTTTCACTTCTCCATGCAGCATTTATTTAGTACCTACTAAGTGTTGAGATGTTGAAAGCTATGGGTAAGAGAAAACTTTCCTGTTTTCAAGCAGTTCACAACAGATAGTAGTAAAGTATATTCTATCTGTCCCCATTTCATGTATCCCCAAGATTGAGTATATATCCTACTGCTAAAAAAAAAAAAGGTAAAAACCTCATTTGAGAATTTGGACAATGGAATGATGACATAATTGTACAAGACCAACTTTGGGTGAAAAATGTGTTTCATTATTATTTTTTGCATGTACAACATCATAACTTTTTTGCAAGTCTGTATACAAGTTATGCTTAATTCCTAAGTATTTTTGACTAAACTCAGCTTTTAAAATTAAATAAATTTCATTAGAAAGATACGATAGTATTTGCACTGTATTATAGTATTGCAAGTATAGAAGCATTATTGAATTAGTCATACATTATCTACATCTCCTGTCCACTTAGTGTCAAAAACATTACTCTTTGAAAGCCACTGGTTTGATTAATGAAGCTGATAAAGAACTGTGATGTAGATTTGACCTTTCATAAAAACAATGAGGCATTACAAGAACAGAGACTTTGATACTTTTTCTTGCTTTACTACCTCTGTCTCCCCAGCTCCTAAGATAATGCCTAACATATATTTGCTACTAAAAATATTTGTTAAATTAAAAAATAAAAACAAGGGCAAGTTTCTGAATTATCAGCCTAAATTTTTCCTAGAGTGGCACTCACTGTCATGTTTCTCTTAGTCACTGGGTTAGTAAAAAACTTCCTTTTTCTTGTTCACTTCTGTACAATCATCAATGCCTAAAACAATGTCTAGCACATAGAGGGTATTCAACAAGTATTCATAGAATGAAGGTACATGCTAGTCCAAGATTATATTACTTCTAGAATTTCATTGGTCATTTTTATTAGAGAAATACAATGGACTATTATCAGGTTAAAGCTGGCATATTAAAAATAAACAAAACTGAACTGGGTGCTGAAACCTTATACCTGTAAGCCTAGCTACTCAGGAGGCTGAGATTTGAGGATCATGGTTCAACGCTAACCCTGGACAGAAAAGACTGTGAGGCACTTTTCTCCAATTAACCACTAAGAAGCCAGATGTGAGATGTCACTGAAATGGCAGAGTACCAGCCTTGAGCAAAACAGCCAAGTGAAAGTATAAGGTCTTGAGTTCAAGCCCCAGTACTGGCAAAGAAACACCTGTTAAATGTGATTATCTTTTGTGACACCACTGAAAGAGTCAACTCCATACACGAAAGACAGAACTTGACAAGAAAATAGATAATCCTTTTTCAGTGCTTAAATGTTGTGGCAATTTTCTGTTCTTGAATAAGTCACTCTGACAAGGATTTCTTACAATTTTACAAATTAAGATTGCACTAGAATTGGTGTTTGGAGAATGAGTAACAAATATTGAGATCAGCAAATTATACCCGATGGTACCAGTCAGTAATCTCAAGTGTTTATTTCCACTTAAGATTGCTCTTATGAATTCCTTCACTCATTCAAGAATCAAGCATCCCAAATGATACAAGGAATATTCACAAGATCTGAGTCCATGATTTAAAATTACATAGGCATCTAGAAGAACAGTGGTTACTGAAGAATTAGCTGCCCATCTCTGGTCCCTACCCCCAAAGGCCTATTGTCAATCACTGTTCCAAACATAAGCTCTTGTAGGTTTTGAAAGCTTTGAACTGGAAGATGACTATTTTAGTGGAAAATTAAAGGGTGTTACAACTCATTGAGTTTCTGTATAATCAGGAAAATTTGTGGGAATGGAATGGACATAACTCATACCACTTCTCATGTATACTTAAATTGCAAATGACTATTTGAAAATCAAAGCCTTGAATGGAGATATCAGAAAGAGGTTGTAAGATAGGGCTTGAGAATCAAAGGACTGGGAGAACTATGTTTGTCTT